GGGCCTGGCCTAGGGAGGATTTTTAAACTGGGTTTTTTAGAAATTTTAATTATCACAACATAAAAATTTTGGTTTTAATTTGGTTTTATTCGGTGGGGTGTGTGGGTCTTTCTTTGTTTTAATAATGTTGTGAGCCGCCCTGAGTCCTTCGGGAGAAGGGCGGGATATAAATTGAAATAATAAATAATAAATAAATAAACCTTGGCTCTGTTATGACTCGTGGACTTCAACTCCCAGAATTCCTGAGCCAGCCATGCTGAGCCAGCCATGCTGGCTCAGGAAGTCTGGGAGTTGAAGTCCACGAGTCATAAAAGAGCCAAGGTTGCCTACCCCTTGCACATACAGCAGAATGCAAGACTCTGCAGAAAAGCGCTCTGTGATGTTTCTACCTGCTAGCTTTCATTCAATCTAGGGTGGTGGAATGGGATGCCTTTGCACTTCTTTTAGTGAAGAGGGGGCAAAGGAACATGCAGCTGTGCTATCCTTTACTATTCCATCTTCTCGGAAGCAGGCTGCACACAGTTCTCATACTGAACCCCAGAATAAAGCATTACAAAGGGACCACTCCCCATTGGCTTTTTAACATTGGGAAGGGCGGACAGACTTCCAAAATATAAAAGATAAAAGATTTCCACAGACTCTATTGGCTGGACAGGCTCAAAACAGCATCAAGAAAGAACTTTCCAACTACTTGAAATATGAGGGAAAATAGAAACCTCTCTTTGTGGGTGGGGGTGGGGGGTGAAATCCTTTTGATAAATTGCAAAGGATGTTTTGGCACAACCTTAGCAGAAAGTCTCAGAAGCAAATTATCTGCATTCAAATATACAGTATGTACATACAGTAAAGTTCTCTGTGCACCTGACTGTGATTTCCCTTCTTCAAATGAATGTTTACACATTCAAACAAATGTGGATAAATTCCCCCTGCAGCTTTCCCTCTGTATCTGAATCATTAAGGAAGAGGATCATAGCTTTTTATGAAAAGTTCTGTGGAATCTCTGCTAAGTTTCCCTTCAGCTTTTCAGCTGACAGTCAAAAAGCAAATGCTTAAGAGCTCTAAGTAGCACCACTGTAAAAGCAGTTTTTAATATCCAGCAGGGCAATCCTATACATGACTGGTCAGCAGTAAGTTTTTGAGCATAAGAGGCTTCTGCTCAGTTCAGTGCTTGCAGTTTAAATTTATGTTTAGATCTTTTACAATAATTTAGAATACTTTTTTAAATCCTGCGTTTATTTACTAACCAGCTGACTCACTTGAGAGGATCCTTAGCCCACTTCATCTCCAAACTCCTAGCAGTACAGACCTGGTCAAAGGTATGATTCATTCCATTTATACTTTTTCTGTGTCCAGTGATAATAATATATGTGGCCTAAGCAGTAGACCAACATCCTGAGAAAATATGTAAATCACGCATTGCTCCAGAGTCTCAGTAGTCCTTTTATAGATTCATTTGTCAAGAGAGAAGGAAAAATGTTGGGTTGGTAAGCAGACATTCCTGGATGGGCATTTTATAGTATATTACCAATAACTTTCCTCCTTGCTTTGGTTTTGTGCGAATTCTCAAGTTTAGGGCTACACATCTGTGTCACAGGGAAGTTTGCTCTCACTCCTGCCCTTCCTCCAGGTCGTCTCCCCTTCCAGCACATCCAGAGAATTACTGTAGGATCTGGGCATGGGATTCTGAGATGGCCTATGAACTGCTGTGCTGCTGATGGGGGCAGAGATGGGTCCAACATTTGACAGACTCTGCGGGCTGCGGGTTGCATACCTGGAATTCATGGTGCTTTTCTTCAGTCTCAACTCTTTGCAGCATTGGCCGAAGCTAAAAGTAAGAGAGATGCCTCCGATAATTTCCAGGCAGCTCCCTAAGTATCCAAGAACCAAGCAGTAGGCCACCCGCAGGGTAGTGGATGGAGCAGAAGGTAAGTCATACAGTTCGTAATTGTACCATGAAACTGCAATCAAACTCAGCAAGCCAGAAACAAAGAGCACCAGGCCGCCTAGCCCCGCGAGCAAATGGTGGGGCAGGTTCTGCCAACATCGCACGCCCAAGGAAGTCACAATCAGCCCCACGACTGTGACTGCCAGAGAAGAGGGCATGAGACCTCTGGCCACTTGCACTGGCAGCTGGTTAAAGTAACCATAGGTGTCTTGGACGTTGCATTCATTGTTGTGGGTGCTCATGAGCTCGTTGCAGATATGCCAGATCCCCTGGTGCTGAATCAGATCTCTTGACATGTCAAGGAATCCAGTCACATCCCTCCAGCTGGGGGCCAGCGTGCTTGTCAGGTTCAGGACAAGGCCACAGGGACCGAGCACAAGGCCCACAATCATGGGGGTCGGAGTCCGCATGTTACTGGCCAAGAAATAAATCCCAAGAAGCTTGTTACGGGAACCAGAAGAGGTTTCACCTTCTAGGTTGGTCTGCCTAGATAAGGCATCTGTTGCTGATCCCTGCTGAAAAAGATTTTGGATTAGAGTCCAAGAAATCAAGACCACACCTGGAATACTGCAGCCAATTTTGGTCACCATAATATAAAAAAGATGTTGAAACCTTGGAAAAAGTTCAGAGAAGAGCAACTAAAATGATTCAAGGCCTGGAGACTAAAACATATGAAGAACGGCTGCAGGACCTGGGTTTGGCTAATCTAAAGAAAAGAAGAAACAGGGACGACATGATAGCAGTATTCCAGTATTTGAGGGGCTGCCACAAAGAAGAGGGGGTCAAATTATTCTCCAAAGCACCAGAGGGCAGGACAAGAAACAATGGTTGGAAACTGACCAAAGAGAGAAACAACTTGGAATTAAGGAGAAACTTCCTAACAGTGAGGACAATTAACCAGTGGAACAGCTTGCCTCCGGAAAACACTGGAGGTTTTTAAGAAGAGACTACACAGTCACTTGTCTGAAATAATATAGGTTCTCCTGCTCAAGTAAGAGGCTGGACTAGAAGACCTTCAAGGTTCCTTCCAGCTCTATTCTATTCCAAATCAAGTTCTCCACACATAATCCCCACATTTGGTGCAGAATTCCCTTAACCTTACTACTCTGCAAGTAGAAGGAACTGCAGCAAAATGTTGGGCTGCTGTATTTCTCACTTTGCTAAAGTCCAATGCAGTTTATGAAACATTTTCTTAATTCTAAATTCTGTCTCCCTTCCCCAGTGCTAAAGAGAACAACATTTTCCTCCCTCCCCCTGAAATCAGGAGCAGCTCCAAAATATGGCAATTTTTCGCTTCTCTCGAGTCCCTGCCAAGAGTGCCCCATTCTAAAGTGTCATTTTGCAGGGCCCCTCCCAACAAGGAAGGTCAACGGCAGCCTGAAGATCTTTTTCTTCCCCCGTTCAAGTTTAAAGATGGTTTGAGGATACCCTCCTGAAATCCTGAATCTCCCCCTGACTTAGAATCAGACATCAAAGACAGCAAACATTTACCTGTCCGCTTGCTCGGTGCTACTGCAGCCACACCTGTGATGTCCATTGTCTTCCCTCCTCTATGTACCCAGCTAAATGCACTCGGCTACTTCGACCGAAACTTCTTTGTATACAGAGAAACTGAATGCTGCTGTCGCCAAACTCGTTCTATGTTGTATTTTATAGGCAAAAAGGGAGGGGAGGAGAAGGAAAACAGAAGTGGAAGCAGGAAGGCTTTGTACCAGGTGTTGCCAAGTTGGTGACTTCAGAAAGGTGGGGTTTGCTGGAGAAGAACATCACACCTGCTTCTGTGTGTGGAAGATACATAGTGATTTTTTTTTTATTCCCTCGAGTAAAGGTCAGTTCTCATTGCTTAGGCTACGCAGCTCATCTAAACAATCACCAATCGAAAGCAGCATTGCTTGTGTAAGTATTTTAAAAGATAAGCGTGCCGGGCAGCTCAGATTGTACTAATGCCCTGAAAGGGAGAGGTGAAACTGAACGAGGGCTGCTCCTGAACGCTGCCAAGGAAGAATAATTGTCGAAAGTGGGATGGGGGAGAGATAAGCATTTTAAGGAAGTGATTTGGCCACTTTTTAAGAACTCTTTTGTGCACGATAGCTTTGGTGTGTTTTTAATTCTTTCTCACTCTCATTCCTCCTTTCTTGATTTACCAACTTGCCAGCCAACCAATGTAGCAGAAACTTAAAGAGCAGCTTCCTAAGCAGATGCTGGCAGATTCTCAAATTAAAGCCATGACGTCTTTCAGCCACTGATTTCTGCACACTCGACAGGAACACGTTTCCTTATGTCTTACCTGCTTGTTTAACAATCTTTGGGAGGTCTTTATATCACACTGGTTGTTTTTCTCAGTGGCAAATACACCGAGTTGTATCCCTTGAGTAAATCATTGCTCAAAAACCAATTCTGACGCTGGCAAGGAACCTGGGTGACTCTCCTGGGAATGTGCCGTAATAAGGGTTGGAGTTGTGGGGGAGGGAAATTGATTGACTATTGGACGGTATTGCCATACTTCAGAAAACAAAGCAAAGGCAGAATGAAGAGACTGGTAGAACCAGCTTTAGAAAAAGAAACTTTAGTGTGAAGGATCTGCACATACTTTCTAGATCAGAGAATATGTTCCCTTGTTCCCAACACAAGCCTGATCAAAGCAAAGCCTTTGAGTTGGGCTCAACCCTTGATTACTTCATGAATCCTACATGCGATTTCACATAGCTTTTTTGGCAACAGTAGAAGTAACCTGCCTTTATCTTCTCCCTAGATCAGGGGTAGTCAACCTTGGCTCTTTTATGACTCGTGAACTTCAACTCCCAGAATTCCTGAGCCAGCTGTGCTGGGAGTTGAAGTCCATGAGTCATAAAAGAGCCAAGGTTGACTACCCCTGCCCTAGATGGTTTTGACTTTCCCAGTCTAGCCTATAACCCAGGATGTCATGATGAATGACTCCCATCTAAATACTAATTAGGTCTGCCCTTGTTTAGGGTCTCAAGATCAGTCAGATGTTGCCACCTAGCTGGCACAAGCCCCCGCACTTTATCTTAAGGCTGTCATTTGTACTATTCTGCATAGCTGCTGAGACTCAAACCATTTCTAATTTATTCCACTGGAATCTTTGTCTGCTAACAGCAATGTGATAAGCAAAGATGAAACGCAAACATCATTTCCATCACTTTCATTGCTTTCACCAAAACAAGAGTCTGCTATTAATTGCCTGGGACTTCAAGTCGAGTTAATAATCTAAAATATTTCTATTTTATTCTTTAATCTGCATTAAATAAAACTGTCTGTATAATAAGCAGTTCTCCCAGCACTAATTCTGTCTCCAAAGATGAATTGGTAGGAACAATATATCGGGGTAAACAGTAGCATTTGTTGGCAATTATGGGAAGCACATTGGATACTGGAAATGCCTATAAATACTAAGTTGCTAAGTTTGTGTATGTCGCGTCGTATCACGACTTTTTTCCCATTGCTAGCAATGGGATGGGCATGGTTTTGGCACGACACATCTGGCCTGAGGGCCGGCAGTTTGACACCCCTGCCTTATATTGTTCTATCTATATGATATCAAACACTTGCATATATAGTATTTTATACCCAGAAGAAGAGTGTAAAATTGGATTGAAACGATCCGTAATTAATTCTGTGGAAAAAACAACAACAAATAGTTCATATTTCTATCATGGTCAGAAGCAGATTAAGCCCAAAGAGATGATAAATTATCCCATCTCTCCTTGCCTTAACCTTGGCTAAATGCCTCTTTCAATTCATTCATTTCCTGCCGTCTTGTAGTCCAAGAGACTATCAGTGGTGACAGAGATGACAGCTTTCAACATCTCTATTCATTCTTTTTTGCTACAGGAAAGAAATTCAAAACCAGTTGGGATTAATGGTCAGTGCTGCATTCTGGGGGACACGTATAAATAAGGATAATGGTGGCATCTTGACATCAAGCCTTTTTTTGGGGGGGCTTCTTAAGTTTCTGCACTGGTCAGCAGAGGGCAGCAACTGCTGGTAAATAAACAAGGGTGTGGTTGGGCAGCGAAGGGAAAGGACAAGAAATAATTGGGCCAAATCGTCAAGCAAGTATAAACAATGCTCCTGATTTTCCATTTCATAATCACAGCCCTGTTCACTATTTCTGCACCCGGAATGTGTCTTTGTTGCTAAAGATCAGAGCAACTGATTAGAAACTAGCATGCTTGTGCAGGAAAATTATATTTTTCAAGCAAATGCTTGCAATATTGACTTTCTTGGAAAATGCATACCTATTCCTCATCACGTATTCCCTCCTTCTCCAGGTATGTATGTGTGAATGCCTGTGTATTTGTTGTGCTAAATGTATGCACCATAGATTGTAACAATGGGTTTCCCCTTATGATTAGGTACCTGCTGGGCCCCCAATGCAGTATGTGGAAGTTCAGATGTCTTTGCATGTGTGTATATAGTGCTGCCTCTCTTTACTGTAGAAAAAAGCATACTTATGAAAATACAATAGAGTCAAAAGCTACTTTCACAACTCTGATTCTAACTAGATACATTTTGACTTCATCACCACCTAGTGGTTGAATTGTGTAATGATTTTGTATCCACATAACCCAACAGCCTGCCATTACAGCACCGTTTCTCAACCTTGGCAACTTTCAGACCTGTGGTCTTCAACTCCCAGAATTCTCCAGCCAACATATGCAAATTTATTTATTTATTAAATTTGTTTGCTGCCCATCTCGTTATCCAAGGTGATTCCAATATGCAAATTCCCCAGGCAGCATATGCAAATACAAATGGTATTAACATGCGGGTGTCTATGTGCTTCTGGAAATCAATGAAAGAGAGATTATGGCCACATAAGAATCAGAATAGAGCTGGAAAGGGACCTTGGAGGTCTTCTAGTCTAGCCCCC